GTGTCTTAAACATAGCTAAGAAAAAACTGCTCCCCCCAGAATGAGACCTTATGTCCTAGTGAAGTTTTGCACAACATTCTCTCCCTGAAGGAACATATCTGGCACCGTGAAAAGGCTTCCTGTGGAGATTATTTATTGATATTAACGGAATTCTATCCTAAGTAATTGGGTTCAAGGAAAAGCTTTCAATTCTGTATGTCTGCTGCCTGAGTCCCTTTTATACTGGAGTACATGAAAAGCTGCAAAAGACTAGGATGCAACATATTAATTCTCAGAGAATTTAGTGCTACGTTGAATTAAAATGTGCTAGAATATAGTATATTTTAGTTTACCTAATACTGTTTTAATTCAGTATTCTAGTACATGTTAATTCTGTATAATGGTAAAGAACTTATTTATTTTTGGTAATAGAAAATAAAATAGATGTTCTTTGGTTACTTGAAAATGCATTGTGGCAGTCTTGCCACAAAACACCAAAATGGCTGATATGTTACGATATGGACCTGTTTTGACAAATAAAAAAAATATTACTTTAATAATTTTGAGGATATAGATTATACTGAAGTGAGGCAAAAGCATGTTGAATTATGGAAATTAGATTTCTGGCAGGTTACTGTGTTATACATAACGACTGAAATTCAGAAATATTCCCTGAAGGATCACCAGCCTACTGTAAGGAATCCTGGTACTTGCACCACCTCCGGAATTCATCCTCTCCCTCAGTTCCAACCTTTTCCTATATCCCCATCTCTTCTTCTTCACACGGGCCAAAATCAGTTGGAACTACCTAAATTGAATAGGCGAGAGCACAGCTTGTAGCTGAAATATTAGAATATGTATCTACATGTTTTTTCTCACTATCCAAGGCACATTCTGCAATCCTTCTTGAGCTTGAGATTTCATTCCAGTCTGATAAGACACAAGGTCTCTTAGCCTTCTTGGGAAACACTGCATTTGCACCATCCTGCAAGATGACATTTTTAGACATTGCTTGAGCCGCAGTCCTAAAACAGTGCCCTGCTGCCAATATGTATACCTCACTAGGCTATGGGGGAAAGCATGTGGCTGTCACCTCTCTAAAAATGCTGTGGCAGAACCAGGCCACCCTTCTGTTCTCATTTTCAGGGCATGCCATGCTGTCACATCATTACTGGAGACCTTCCAGGAGGAAGGACGTGTTACACAAGAACTCCACAAGAAATTCTAGTGTTAGAAGAACAATTAGCATGTCCGCAAACAAACCGAAGCCCAACTCACCTACTGCAGTAAATTACATTTGTTCAACTTAGGGAAGGCCAAAGGTCAAACTCCATTGTAGTGCACAGCTTTCTCACAAGGGGAACAGAGGGACTGAGCTGATCTCTGCTCTCTGATGGCAGCAGCAGTACTTGAGGAAATGGCATGGAGCTGTGTAAGGGGAGGTTCAGGTGAATGTTAGGGAAAGGTTCTTCACCAGAGGGTGGTTGGGCACTGGAACAGGCTGCCCAGGGCAGAGGTCATGGCACCAAACCTGTCAGAGTTCAAGGAGCATTTGGGCAACGCTCTCAGACATAGGGTTTGAATTTTGAGTTGTCGAGAATTTGGACTCAGTGATCCTTGTGGGTCTTTCCCAACTTGGGATATTCTATGATTCTGTGAAGTGCTATTCAAGCAGAGCAGCTTCCACCTTCACATACATATATCACACATAATCACAGTCCTTGGGTTTTCAGAAGCTATTTCCCTAAGCTTCTGTCTAACTCTCACTTCAGCAGTGCCATTCAACTTGACTCACAGCTGTATGACCCAAAAGCTGCCTAATAACTAACACTGAGCAGCAAAAGTCTGTCAGTTTTAAGAAGGCAGTAGCAGAACCTGCAAATTACCGTGGGAAAACAGACGGATTCTTCTACAAAGAAAGCTTATCTTTACTTGGTTAGAAAAAACTTACTGGATCTGCTTTCCAGACCAGTTCTCAGGTATTCAGAAATATCATAGGAATATATCTACTGGTTGCTTGAACTAGAAACTGAAAAGCATAACTCCATGTTTATTTGCTAAGTAGATAAGCCCTAACTTCTTCTCAGCCTCAAATCCTATTCTTTTAGGGAACAAGCAGCTGAGCCACCTTGTTGGATCAAGAATTAAGGACTCCCAAACTCCATTGGCCCTGTCTCCTTTAGACTTGTGCTGTAGAGTGCACTTATGCAGAAGAAAAAGGAGGATTCTGTTGTCCATGTCTCTATTGTTAGATAATGCTTTTAACAATGGAGGCTTGCTAAATCCTGACAGGCATTCTTAGTCCTCAGAAAAGAATGGAAACTGTTCTTTCTGCTTGGAGTCAATGGTTCAGACAGGTGCATAATCTGATTGTACTGAATACAATGAACAGATTTTAAAAAAGGAGTCCTTGGCCAGTCTCCAAAGCTAACATCAGAACAGAGCCAAGAATTTAAGTAACAGAAAGATATGCCTGGCAGGACTGGAGGCAAGAGATGTATCTCTGATAGCCATATGTGATGTGTTGAAGGTTTGGGGGCGGGAGGATGGTTGCTTTGTTAAACTGAAGCAATTCTTCAGTGTCTGATCAGACTCTCTCAGGCTTAACTTTGATACAGAGGCTACAGCCTCATTTAGTTGAGCTCAGTGTTTTTAACATCAAATATTGCCATATACCCAGTAAAAATATATCACTTTTAGCCTGTTTGTTTTTTGGTTTTCCTTCTGCATGGAGACATGGACAGCCAGTACCTGGTTCCCTACTTGTTTCAGAAATTCCAGTATAGTCTGGAGGTCACAGGAGGAAAATGTCCAACTTTGGAAGGTTTTTATAGATCATAGGAAACAATGGAGAAGGCTGACATTTGTGTGACTCAGGTGTGTTTCTTATCAAAATACCTTCAGTCCAAGCACTGTGATATATTGACAGATATCACATCTTTACATATGTTGGGTACTGGAGAGCTGTCGCAGGATGTGAATTTTCTGGGTAGGTCAGAAACAGAGATGCAGCAGTGTGCTACAGGGGGTACAGGCAAGATCAGTTCGGGTGCTGCTTGAGTAACACTATAATGCTGAAACAAAAGTGTTCTAGATTGGGATGCTCTCACCCAGCCAGAGGGAGGAATGTAACATGAACATAGGTGTAGATGTCTGTAATAAATAGTTATTAAAAATTAACAGTTCCTTGGCATGGGCTTAAATGTTAGGCAGAGCTTTTCTAAGTACCCTTTCTTCTTTATACCTCTAGTTTTATCTCCTGCAAAAGAGAAGAAAACTGAAGTTTGTGTATGTTAAAAACCTCAGCATTATCTTATACATCTCTGCAAAGATGGAAAATTTGTGAATTGCAACTGTAACTGACTTATTATAATATAACTTACATAATATATATAATAATATAACTTATTATAATATAACTTAATATAACTTATTAATATGGTGACTTTTATGTTCTTCTGCCTTTCTCTTTTATCAGAAGGCTACAGAATGCAGGCTTACCAAAGAGTCCCCTCAAACATCGTTTGAGAACAAGTCCTGACTTGTCTCTTTCCACAACTCCCTATTTTCACCCCGGTTTTCAAAGATACTGAAATCCCTGTGATTCTCCTGCTCAAAAGCAACTCCTTGCCAAGTAATTCTCATTCTCAGCAGCGCTTGCTTACTTACCAGATGATTCATAACTTCCGAAAACTTCATGCTACTCTTTGTTCCTTCCTCTCATCTCAGCTCTATGTAGTGATGCCTGTATTCTGGCATCTGTAAAAACACTGTATCTGCCGAGCACAGCTAGAGTCTCCTAGAAATTCAAAGGAAGAAAATGTGTGCAGACATTCTTCTCTGGACACAGAATTTCTTTGACATGAAAAACAAACAAGCCTTACTTACAGAAGATAAAGAAATCAGAGAAAAGTAGACATACTAGCAAAGATAGAAGCAGAAAAATAGTTGCACTGTGTTTTGCAGAAGCCATCCTGAAGATACAGAAAGGTTGTTGTAGTTCTTTCTGAATAGAGGTCCCCAGCATCTGACTTCAGTCAGGATTTGATCCTGGAATCTGGTGTGGGGCCTCTGGGAAGCAATTTAGAAATTGAAGCCTGTTGCCCACTATACAGACAGATTTACAACAATTTTATTTCAATTGAATCAGACAGACCTGAGCAAAGCATCTCAGCCTGCTTGTCTTTATGTGAACAACAGCATAAAAATGCACCTTGATCACTGAGTCTAGTGATAAATGTGCTCATGGGTATTTTGGTAGGATTTGGGAGGGGAATATCCTTTCATACCAGCTGTTCTATAAGTGTTTCCCTACTGAATGTGAGAGAATTTGTCTTCCTAGCTTCTAAGCAGAGCTGTATTACCCTCTAGAGGTGTTAACTTGGGTTTTCATATTTTAAGTGATTTGTTCAAGAAGATAAAGCCAGCTTGTGTGAGTTTAAGGGACATACATAAGTGTATAAGACAAGCTGACATGCACACAAATGGAAAAATAATTCAAGCCCTATTTCCTGTGGGTTGTAAGGGTAGAAGACAGATTTAATGCTTAATGTTGGATACTTCCATGTCAGAGAAATGCTATCATTGTAAGGGTGTAAGTTAAATAGATGAAGGTAATTAAGGAAAGCATAGTTCTCAGGAAAAAATAAATAAATAAATAAAAGAAAAAATAAAAGAAAAGAAAAGGAAAAGAAAGAGAGAAAGAGGTGTAAGGTAAATCAGTCTTTTGTCCCTTGGACTTCATGAGGATTATTTTTATCCTATGGCCATTTGCAAACCTGAAGATGTAAGATCTTTGAACTGAATCAGTAAAGATTTCCAACAATTATCAGAAGTACAGTAGCTTCAGCTAGTGAGTCAGTTAGGGTAAATCACTACAGAAGTCAGTGAATTTTTGGATAACACTCCCTTAGCCCCAGTAATTTAGCAAGGCCATCCAGTCTGACATCCCAGTGCAATACTTTTACTGTGAAGTCTTATTTTTGTTTTAACTGTAATATTTTTCTTACACTACTTTCCAGGCCCTGATTATATCAAGCAAAAATTTCAAGAAGGAATGGAAGTAAAAGAAAAATCTGAAGACAAAGTTCAGGAAAAACCTCCTAGCCCAAAAGAGTCACCTCACTTTTATCGAAAAGGTACTACACCACCTCGAACCCCAGAAGCAAGTCCGAGGCAGAGCCCTCCACTTCCTTCTGAGCCTTCTCCTTCAAAACATCTGAAAAAGCAAAACTCCGCTTCTGGGGCAAAACTCAATCAAGAAAAAAGGCTTTTAGCCACGGAGAACATAACACCTATGATTAACAAGCCTTTATATTCAAAACCACCAATAAAGGAAGAAATAGCTGAGAAACACCAGTCAAAGCTTTCAGCCCGTCACAATCCCGTCAGCACAGAGAATGGGGAGCTGCATGGTCACTACCATGGTTATTATGTAAAAATGAATCCACCAATGCTTCCACGGGAGCTTGGAGAAGAAGATGATGAATATATCAACCCATCACCATCAACAGTTGCACGGTTACCACAGTCACAGAAGCCAAGCCCTGCTAGATCTGGGGGTAAGCCAGATGCCAAAGAAAACAAACCTGACACAAAAATTAAGAAACCAGAATTTGCTGCACCAAAGAATCCAGCTAATAAGGAGTCACATTCAGCCATGGAAAAAGAAGTAGTAAACAGCTCGGTGAGTACAAGAGAGCTTTTCACCTTTACCACTCTTCTACCTCTTAATGCTGAGCTTTGCAGCCTAAGGACAGGAAAAGCTCAGTCTTTGGTCAAATATTTGTGCGGATACAGTCTGCTAGCTAGAATTGTCTGTAGAAAAGTGAAATGAGGTGCACACATTCCAGTCCTTAAAATTGGGAAGGGACAGTTGATATAGCCAGATATAGACAAGTTTTGAAATATAAATCTCGAATGCATCCATAAATACAAGGGTACTGTTTATGCCTAAAATTATATTAGTGTGCAATTACTTGAGATACATATTTGCAAATATAAATATCTTTCCTTGTTTTTTCTTCAAAACAATATTTGATGTATCTTAGTGGATAATTGGCAGTACTAGAAGTTGCACAGCTAGGCTCTTGTCACAATGCAAAAGTTACTGTATATCCTGTAGCTTCTTCCAAAAATCTTGTAAAAAAAATGAAGTTTAAGAATTTTTTTCCGTCACTTCTTCACGTGCCAGAGAAATGAAATGATGACAGTCATCAGGAGTTGTATAACTTGCATTTAATCTCATAGGACATTTTAATGTAAATTGTATCAACACAGGAGCTGTGTTCTTAAATAAAGGTAATTTTGCAAGCCAGTTGTAATGACAAATTGTTTGGCGTTCTATGAACATGATACAGTATTTTCTGGTTCAGCCAGCATATGTTGCATTTTTAGAGCTTCAGGCCAAAGAACATCATCAGCAAAATGCTGCCAGAAGCCTTTGTGAGCTCCAGAGATGACAGAAAAGTCCATTGAGAGTAGTTAGTACAAAGCTACTACCTCTAGAGCTTGGAAAGTTTATGAGCAACAAGTCATTGGAGACTGGAGGGTACTTGGGAAGTATCCCTGTACATACTTGCTCTGATCTCATTCTCTAAAGGTGCTTTGAATTACTCTTGGAGGTGGGATGCTGCCCTGCTGGCTGGCTGACCCAGTCCAGACATTCTTCAATTTTGATTTTCCTCTCTGTGTTGAACGTAGCTCTGAAAACAGGCAGTTTTGTGCCAAAATATGAACTGCTTCCAGCCGGACTTGGATTTTAATGTGATATGAAAAACTGAAAATGGAGAAATGTCAGAAAACGAAGAAAAAAAATTAATACTATAATTCAGATTACTTTGGATCTGAATGTCATTGTTGTTTAGAAATAATGGAATTATCAGCTGAGATGGAGAAAAGACTAATAAGAATTTCTATACCCTGTTAAGGAAAAAAAGTTGTCAAATTCAGAACTTGCAATGATTATGAAACTGTTTTTGGCCAAGAGAAACTCAAGAATGTGTTAGTTGTAGATGCCAAAGTTAACCTGCAGCAAATTAGGAGATCTAGATAATTGTGATATTGTTATTTATTAATAAGCATTGCTTCTCTGAATCATTTTTGGTACTCCTGAAAAAAACAACAACAAAAAAAGCCAGCGTCTCATTATTAAGATAGGATAAACAGAGTGACTCAATTAAGGGATCCTGTTAGTCAAGCCCTGAGCTGAAGCAAAACAGTTGAGTTGCACCAGATTTCATTAATAAATAATTTCAAAATGAAAGGTAAAAGAATTTCCAACCAACATGCATTGTAAGAGATCTTGTGAGACAAGCCTGACATCTTCAAAAGCAGAGGAATGATGCCTTCAATCAGGAAGATCATTTGATTTGCTTTTCAGTTACTTATTCTGACAAGAAAGCCAGTGTAATGCAAAGGCTAAATGTTACATTAAAATCATTTTAAAAGACTGACCGGTGTTTATCAAATAGTAATTGGAAAACATCAGTAGTTTGGTATTCTGATGAGATTGTTCTTGGGTTAATTCTGCTGCACTGCTTTATTAACATGCTTACCAGTGACATGGAAGGGAACATAAATGTGTTGCCCATAAAGTTTGCAAAAGACAGAGAAGCTAGGAACCTGATAAAGAATGAAGCCAGCAGATAACCAGTACAAACTGATCCAAATCACCAGATAGCAAAGATGAAATTTAATTATCATATGCAGTACAGCAAAACATAAGCTCAAAAACTGAAAGGCAGTTGCTAGAGCCTGACCATACAGGATGGGAACTGGAAAAGGCTGGTAGATCAGGATCAGGAGAGGTAACTGAGCATGAGCTCTCAATCTGCTGTTGATCAGAAGCGTTAATATAATCCTTAGATTTAACAACAGGAGAGATTAAGCAAGAGTACATGAGAGTCTGTTTTATCTGGTTTTGGCACTAACGCAACAACTTCTGGAACAAAATACAATATTCATAAATCAGAGATTTAAAATGAAAAAAAAAAGAAAAAAAGAAAAGGAAGGTCCCACGAAGTGCAGCAAGAGTGATTAAAACACTTTCATTACAATGAATGATTTGAGACAGAAAATCTGTTTGGCATGTTAAATCACATTCCATAAGTACACATCCTAAAATAGTTTACAGTACAATTTTAAGGAATGAGCAGCTGAAAGTTGATGCTAGACAGATTTAGATTAAAAGTCTTATTTTAAATTGCTATTAATGAGATTAATTAAGTGCACCATCAGTTTTCATCAGTCCTCACTGAGTAGTTCAACAAAGAACATTTTGCCAAAATTACGTCCTTTAGTTTAGCAAGAAGCTTATATTCTGTTTTGTGCAGATCAAACTAGATGTTCACAGTGGTTTTGTAATCTGCAAATCTGTATTACAGCTCATATCAGCCCTTTAACCTTTCAAATCTCACAGATATGACTCCTATCTAGGGTAATACAAAGCTGTCAGGCTCATAAATGTTTAGTGAGCACACAGAATTTCAGCCTGAATTGGAACATTTTCTTCAGCTCTGGCGAAAATAAGGGGTTAGAAGTAGTCCTTATTTTTCTTATGTTGCATCCTGACCAAATCATGGTTTGGAGCTGATGGAGTTTTCACATTAAGAAACGAAGCAGCACACCTGAACAGCTGTTTATTGACCTTCTAGAATAATCAGGATGAGGACTGTGAACTTAGAGCTTGTTAGCAGGAAAGACAGAGGAGCAATCAGGTGTAGCACGTTAACTACTGTTTACTGCTACTACAGCCCTCTGCTTCATTTGGAGCACACTAATTGCATTACTCTTATTATCAGCATGTCAGTAAGAAGGGAATGTCAAGTTTAGGAGATAGTTTTTAATATGACATTTTAAAATATGTTTTTCAGTGATATTTTCCATCTGTGTCTATACATTTGACTCTGTAGAATACATTTCCTAAAAGTGAAAAGTTGCTGGAAAAAATAACTGATTAGAATACTTCTCTTTATCCCAGACAGTTCTGAAAATTAAGATAATTTAGAATTCTAGTGCTGCATTAGAGAATTATTTTGTTTTATTCAGTAATTGCATTGCTTTATATTCATTCTGACAAATTGTTATGATTTGAAAGCACGCACCTGCATTAGATCTTCAATTAAAGTTTAAAAATACATTTGTTAGACAATAGAAAACAGAAACAAACTCTGATTCTTATGAAAAGAGTGAGAAAGCATGACTTGGGTACACAAAATTTAATATATAACATTTAAACGAGCATTTCTATTAGACTGTCTGAAAGTGCTGTATGAAGTTGTGCTGTTCTTTTTCCAGGTTTCCCGTGAGAGTGCATTAAGAACATGGATATAGGACTTACAATTTTTAGTTCTTCTATCCACGTATTTAAATCAAAGTTTTTTCTCGCATCTGAATGAAACACAGACCTTTAAGACATCCATTTGCATTGATTTGGATTAAGAATGTTATTTACAGCAAAGTCTGTGGCAGTCGTTAATAAAATTTGTAATTACATTTTCTGTGAATGTTACATCTTTAAGAATGTTATTGAAAATCATTTGTGCAGTCAGTTATAGTACTGATTCTGTAGGTATCCCTATTTCTGACATTATACTTGAAAAATACTTATACCTGCAAAACACTTGAAATACATCAAATGTATATCTCTATATTCTTATTTTCTACTATTCAAATATCAAAGTTTAGAATCATTCCAGAGCTTCTGTGAAAGGGCAATAGGACTCTGTCATAATTTTATCAAGGTAAAAAACAAGGATAAAAACATGAGCCAACGTCACCGTTCATCAGCTGTTCCAAAGTAATTGATCGATTTTAAGAAACTGACTCTAGTGAATGGGAGGTAAATCATCCATTTTTTACCAAGTCTTAGAAGCCCTCTAGCTATACTATGTAAAGAATATGCTATAGAGACTTCATCAGGACTTAATGGCAAACCAATACTGTTATTTCTAATTGTTTGTTAGCAGCCTCTAGCCCCAGTACCAACTTGCATGCTCCTGTCTCATCTTGAATGTGAGGTAGTTTGAGATAGTCTTGGATTCGGATAACAAATAGGACTGAGTTGTATAAAATGTCATTGTAATGTCTGCTTATGCACACACATCTGATTTGTCTGACATGTCCCATGTTGCCTTAGGTCAGGTACAAGCACAGGTACCAGTGTTCTGTGTATGATATTCCCAGTTTTTTGTATCGTAGATCAAGATTTTTAAGCTGCACAGACCATTTAGCCTGGTTTTTACCTTTATCATTACGTTTGCCTGAACATTACCCAGTGTGTTTCTACTTCCATCTCTTTGTTCACTTAACATGCAGTTATTAAGGAATATAACTACCGTGATGTTAGGAAAATAGACCTCTATTTGCCTGATGCTAAAAAAACTCTGAGCAAGAACTTTATGCTAAATATAATAGACATTCATAATGCAATGGGATTACAGGAGCAGTCTTAACACTTCCTGGCTCTCTGTTTTAGGAAAATAGCTTTCTTCCCTACGCATAATGAAACCTAATCGTATGGCTGTATTTTTAACTGCATAAGTGGCTGACGTATTAGAACATGGAGGGGCAGTTTTTAAGCAGGACTGAAGGTTTTCTGCTATAGCTTCTTTATTGCACCTGTTCTAGTCGCTCTTGGACTCCTCAGACTAATTTTGGCTTTTGCTATTTTAAGCCTTTGCAGGACACTGAAGTCTTATTTATGGGATTTGCTGTGAAGCATTAAATGTTTATTTTGTAGGTGTCTAAAGAACAGGTAGTAGCTAATTGCATGATAATCCTGGGTTGTACAAATATTGTTTGATCATTTTTTAGTTTAACAGGAAACTGCTTTTGACTCACAGTCTTAGTTATTAGACAAGGAAATACACAGAGCAGGCTAAAGGAGATGAGATTTACTTCTGTAAAGCATAGGCTCAATAGATTATTATCATAAATATATTACACTTTTTTTATTTTTCATCTTCATATAAAATTAACAACTAAGTTCTTAAAGTAATGCTTTATTCTGTCTTTGTATATGAGATTTCTTGATTCAGACCATAGTCTCCAGGGGTTTTTTTTGGCCAAATTTATCCAGTATTACTGTGGTGAGATAATTAAACCCATGTAACTTGAGAGATGCATTCATAAAGAAATCCCTTCTTCCTCCACCAACCTTTCTTGAGATTAATGATGCTGCGTTGCTCTTTGAGCTGCAGTCCCAACTTATCCTTCCATCGAAAACTGTCTTGTTGCTATGCTGTAGAATGCTGTCTCAGGACATATTTTAGGTAATGAGTAAGTTCCTGGCTCCTTGAACTCCTGGTAGGTCTTCAGTAGGAATAAAGCAACTTGATTTTGATGGATTTTATTTTAAAACATGCAAAGTATCAGACACCCAAATCCCAGTGAATTTTAATGGCATAAGGCATTGATCTACTTCACTGTTCCTCACAATTTCTGTGCAGTTTTAGGTTGGAGGTTGAACTATAAAGAATCTATTATCCTGACTTTGATCAAACTGAGTCCCTGCAGATGCTGAATTCAAATCTGAGCACAAATGAGTAGTGTAATCACACTCCTTGTGGACAGAGATGTAACATTAACATGTATGTATTATTCTTGTTTGTCATATGAGATTCTGGGATTTTTTTTGAAAGAAAAAGTCAATCACACTGAGGGTATTGACATTAATACTCAGGACTGCCAAACTGAGAGATTTTAAAATGGGCTATTATTTCAAGTAAAGCAAGTTTAGTTGTTTAAATTCTCCCGATGCGACTTTCTTCCAAATGTAGTTGGTGAAAGTCATCAGTACTGAAAGAATTGGTGGGAACTTGAATTTCCTTTGCAGCAGGAAAGCACAGAAGATCCACTGTTAGCACAGCTGTGACAGTGCTAGAAAGAGAAAGAAGAAATGAAGCTCAAGTTGCACATGAACACAGTTAGGCGGCTTACAGTCCTCTTATTAGAAATGTGGCCATACCTGGAGTTGCACTCTCATTTTTTATGCTTGTTCTCCACCACCAAGCTTCTCATATTCTTTGGTGCATGGTGGCTCACTTCCAGTAGGAAGTTGGGAACGCGGTTCCACTTTGGTTCTGTGACCCAATGGTTAAAACATACCGCTGGTAAGTGGGCTCTTGGTATTCAAAATCCCTTTGGCTAAGGTAACCCTAAACCCTAGTCTTTAGTTTCCTAGTGAATGTTTTTGACATTCTGCCACTAGGCAAAAGGCTAATGTTGTTACTAATACCATTACCCCACAGCAAAATTTAAGGAGCATCCTATTCTGATGGTCACAGGCACTGGTCGAACTTCAGTGCCTGTTTCCTTGGCATGTCTCTGAAGAGGTGCAAGGGGAACCTCATGACCTGTAGGGATAGAACTGCTAATTAGAGTGAGTCTTCCCCAAGATTTAAGCAGTGCTTAAAACATATTTTGTGACTTATTCAAGAACTTAGCAGTCCACATCCTGCCTGTTATCATACCTACTGTATAAATGTGTGTTCTGGTGGATGTTTAAGTGAGTGTTTCAGGATAGAGTATGCAATATAATAGTAGCACTAATGATGTTCAGCAGCTTCCTAGTTTGCCAGTTTTCCTAGCAAAATTTTAATAGTAATTTATTTTAACTTCTTATTCCAGAAACTGCATAGGTAATGTTGCCATTGCCATAAAGCATAATGAACTTCTACAAGGCATGCCTCATGTGAAAAGTAAAAAAAAAAAATCTAATTTCTAATGAAATTAATTCACTCTACAAGAAGCCAGTAATCCTTAAGTAGTTCAACTTTCTGCAGAGAATTTTTGATGGGCTTTTTGTGATCTAGGAAATTGTTGTTTGAGTAAAGGGTTTTTCTGTTTCTACTTGCACTAAATTCATACCTTAGCACGTACAAATGTATGTGAAAATATGTTGTAGTAAACCAAATACATTGACAGAAGAATGGAAAAATTTAGGAACTCCATCTGTTGAATACATTATTTCAAGTTGTTTATCGGAAAGCATCCATGTTTGCTAAATACTTCTATAAGATAAGGCTTTTCAACCAAGTTTCAAAGTGGATCAAAACAAGTTTTTAGTATTGTGGATTGAATTTTTTTTTTTGTTCTTGTCTGTAATGGATATATTGCTAGGGATTTTAGTGGAGTGGCAATAGTATTTTTTTTCCTTTTGGTTATCAAAAAAGGTGTTCTTTTCTTATGACACACTGCTATGAAAGACCCTGCTTCTGTCTTGTAATGGGTTGGCATCAGAGAAGGAACCCACTGTATGGACAAGCAACAGTGCTCTGGCTTCAAGTTTGACTTCTTTATTCTCTTTTATTTTAAGCTGGTGCCATTCTTGTTTTTATGGCTTTGTTTACATTTGCACAGTCATATTTGTCAGACAGCTATTCTCAGTATGATTAAGAGCAGTGTAATAATATACTTACCTTTATTTATCTAGTTCATTTTCATACAGATGATATTTAGGTCACTAGAAAAGAAGAGTTTAACCAAGGCTACGTTTCACAAGCAGAGTCTGTGCTTTTGATATTTAGATAGTATTTCAGAGCAAAGTCAGATCCTGTTTGTTGCTGTGCACTATGTGAAAGATTGCATTTTTGGAGATGTGGTTTAGTGGACATGGTGGTGATAGGTTGATAGTTGCACTAGATGATCTTTGTGTTTTTTTTCCAGCCTTAATGATTCTATGGTTCTATGATTAATTTCGTTCTCTTTGTTTATTTTCAGGGCCCTAACTCAGTCATGATTGCCCTGGTAATGCTGTTGAATATTGGTCTAGCCATTCTTTTTGTCCATTTTCTAACTTGATTGGAATTAGGAAAGGTAAGCAAGGTCTTGTTTTCATATACAATCACCACATCCACCCCCCCTCAAATTATAAAGATTGAATTTATTTGCATACTTTTAATGTTTCCTACTTTAATTTTAGCTGTGCCTGAATGTGATTCAACATAGTTATTTAATTATGTAACTGTTTTGACCCTTCAGTGAAGTCATGACAACTAGTGGTGTTAGCCCACAGTTCTCTGCAGTTGTGTCATCAGCCTTTTAAATGGCACCAGACATACTCAGACACAGGGAAGGAGGCTTGGCGTTAGGATGATGGGACGCAAGAGAGATGAAACTTGGAAAATTCAGCCAGGGGCCCAGATCAGTTTGTCTGCTGATGGTTTGTGGCTTTGGGGTCCTGTGAAAGCTGAAGCAAGCAGCCATGTCGGAAAGTAAACAAAATAATCTGCTGAAGCAGCCCCACCAGTGAAGTGCGTTGGCTTCTCCATCTGTTCCAGCAGAGTGTGACTAAACTGGAAATGTACGGAGCTGCACTTTTTGTTGATGGAAGCTAACAGCTGCCTTACTATTTTACCGTCTGATGTTTTTAGTGGGGAGATGGGAAAACGACTGCCAGAGGAATGTGGTCAGTGGATTCTGTTGCTGTGGAAGTGATTCCAGCGTTCACTCCTATCTCATTAGAAGAAATAGTTAGCAGCATCAGTCACCAGTCTTATTCCATTACCTGCTGCTTTTAACATCTCCCACAGTGTTCTGGGAGATTGAATTTCATTTGCCTGTGCATGATTCTGTTCATTTGTTGTTTATGAAATCTGATGTATAGCCATAATGTAGTGTGTAGTCCAACCTGGGGAGCGCTACCGGTTCTGCCTAGTGGCAGAAACAGAAGATAAAACCTTACTCTAATCTGAAGATGTAATTCTTAAATTCATTTTCCTAAATCTGAAGAGTCTATTCACTTTAAGGTTTAGGAAGCTATATACCGTAACTGCAAAAATTGATATCTTCCTAAAAGTGCTCAAATGCTTATGCCAGTAGCAAGCAAAATTCTTTTTAATTAAAAAAAAATAAGAATCTGAAGTCGATATCAGCACATCCTGAGCTGGAGATGAAATACCAGAATAATGCAAGGAAGATAAGATGCGGAGTTTGCATGTTGATTTTTTTTTAATTTTTTTTTTATTTTTTTAATTCTGGTGCTGTGATAATTAGTGATTTGAATTATTATGTTTCAGCACTGAGGTGTTTTGCCAGCATTTAAAATAAAGTCTTGTCTGAGTGCTCATTAATGCCAGTGACAGTTAAGCTAGCTAATGCTCATAATAAACTATTGTGACTTTTGAACACTAGTTTCGTGTTGAATACATTCAGGTAGAGCATTTAGACATGTTAAGTGATCGTTTATCGATTTGATGCCTTCAGTGTCTTTGAAGTCCTTTTATAATTTTACCTCAGCATTAAAAAATCCTCAAAATATTTTGTTTGGAAAGTTTGTCTTAAGTAGCTTCACAGCCCTTTGTTACAATGATGTGATCATGTTTCTTTTATGTGCCATTATACTGTAATTATTGTACCCTATATTAACCAAAAGCATGCTTATTTGCTGAAAATATGTGGTGTGATCATTTGGAAAGAAAGCATTTTAATTTGAAGCTGCAAAAAGCAAAGGGCTTGTATTACAGTTTATTTTATCTCTGTTAGACGATATTTCATACAATATAGTTTTTGAACCTGTTTGTAAACTTTATAAGTGTTTGCATGGTGTAACGGGCGACATTCTTAAAAGTACATTAGCTATCTTTTGATGCAGCATATTAAAGTACCGTAGGTGCGGACTGAGTAGAGTGCAGCGAAGCAGCTCCAAGCAGTGCAGTAACACCGTGGTGTTTTTTACAGAAGTATGTTGAGAATCCTGTGTTTTCACCAGTGTGGATAAAGAAGAAAGCAGAAAGAGAGCAAATGAAAATAAAACTTGTATATTTATTTTTTAAAGAGTCAAAATTGTGTTTTAAATTTAGGAAGGTGATTTTTAAATAAGAACAAAGTTTTAAAAGTTACTGTGTAAGCCTTGACGTAATGGACAAAATGTTCCATCCAACAGTGAAATCACCCCCCCCCGTCTCCTTACGTGGAGAGGTAATTTTGTAACTGACATATTTAATTCCTATTAAATGTTTATTTAAAATACTTTATGCTCTGGAAATAATGGGTAACAAAGCTTATGAAAATGTTTATAAATTTAAGTAAGCATGTTAGTACCATTTATAAATATGTATGATTTATAAGCTTTTTTAAATCAAAGCTCAAACAAATTGTTGGTATTTTTCTAAAATGTGCACAGCTGTATTTTACATGAAAGGCTATTTATAATTGGTTGTTATACTGTACACTACATTTTGGACAGCACAATGAAGCCTGCCAATGTACTTAATAATGTCATTTTGTCTATTTAAAGTTTCTTGCTGTCAAAGAATGAACTCTTTATCTATGAGTTTATTTATAATTCTTGACCCAAAATGTATAATGTACAGTTTTCACAACTGTATTTGCTCTAATAAAAATAAGTTGGTTATTAATAGAGTTTCAGACTGGTTCTTCCTGTTTACAAATTGCTTTTGTCACTCTCCAGAAATGAATTTTCAAGCAAACTAAATAAAAAAGAAATGAGCCAGGAATATAAGTCTCGACCCATTTGAAATTATTGTAAGTTATTTAAAACATACATAAAAAAAAAAAAAAAAAGACTAGTTTCCTTATGTGTCTTTTTTTCATGGTCTGATACACAATTTTGGATCTCTGAAATGTTGTATCTTAAATTATACTGCCTCTGCAGAGATGGTTTAGTTGATCTTGATTTAATCAGTGACTGATCCATTAGAAGCTGTCCTCGTAAGCAAATGCCTTATTTAGATTTCTCTCCTTCTCAAGGTCTTCACTGGTTCACGGTTAAAGTGAAGTGTTACAAACCAATATTTTACACAGAGAAAATTCACCAGTACAGTTGCCTTAAGAGCATCATGTTTGATGAATTAGTTCATGAACGCAGAATTTTATTTTCTGGTTCCTGTTCGGATCACTGGCCAACTCTATTTACATTCTAATTATAAAAGAGAGTAAGTGTTCCTGTTCACTGGAAACATATTTGTAGTAATATTTGAAGTAGGAGGGCTGCTCCAAAAGTAATGCCTCCTGTTCTGTTATGTTGGCGCACGCTGTCAGAGGCAGATACTGATGGTAAGGCAGTAGGGGTTGAACCTTCCCGCCAGCATGCCATTAGAGAGGAGCAGCCTGACAAAATGGTTTCTGACATGGAAGTGCATACGAAGCAAAGGTGTGTCGCTGAATTCCCCTACGCAGGGGATGTGAGTACAGTGAGGCAGTGAGTGGTGCCTTTCAGCAGTGGTGGCGGTGGCAGTGGGTCACCTCCACTGGTGCGGGTTTTTACATGCGTAGCATACAGGCTCTTGTTCATCACTGGTGAAAAATGTGTAGCTAATAGTAGATCCCGAGATATAAAGTAGTGTCTTGTAGCTAAGAATTTCCTCTATCAAGTGGTGTCATTATTTTGGTGTCGTTATCTTTGTATCTGTTGTAGCTTTCATGGAAATAAATAGTAAGTAAATAATAAACTATTTATTGAGATACAGTAACATTCTTAACTAGTTGTTATTAATAAAACACGGTCGTGAATTATATCTGAATGGCTTTACTTACAGCTCATTTGAGCCACTTAGGAAGGGGAGCCCATTGTATGTACTGTTCTCTTATGGAAATGTAATTCAGCAAACAAAGCAAATGAAGAGTGGAAATTAAATAAGCCTTTCAAATGAAGTAGTCTTCTCATTCTCTCATTTAATATTCACAGAAAAAGGAAAAAATAGAAATGGTCTAAGTCTGAGCATGAAGCTGCATATGCCAAGTGCTGTAACTGAGCCATCCACAGAATCCATCTCAGGTTTTTTTCTCCTGAATAAAGAATCTCCTCAGTAAGAGACATTATGCCTCCTGTCTTTGTAGGACGTAATTTAGTTTCCATACACAGCATCTTTAAGGAAAACTGTCTGTAATGTCAAAGGCTTTTTAGGAGGAAAAAGTAAAACCGTGCCATGTTGAAAGGTGATTGCAGCGAGTGCGGGGTTGGTCTCTTCTCACTGGTGACAGGTGATGGGATGAGGGGAAATGGCCTCAAGTTGCAGCAGGAGAGGTTTATGTTGGATATCAGGAAAAACAGGGTTGAAAGCACTGGAATGAGCTCCCCAGGGAGGTGGCTGAGTCACCATCCCTGGATGTGTTTGAAAACTGTTTGGATGTGGTGCTCAGGGACATGATTTAGTGGAGGGTTGTTAGAGTTAGGGTAGTATTGTTAGGTTGTGGTTAGATTCAATGGTCTTCAATGTCTATTCCAACCTGAGCCATACTATGATTCTATGATTCTGTGTCTAAATAGTTTATAATGTGGCCATCACTGGAACAGTTAAGTATACCCCTCAGCCCCATGAAAATGATGGCAAATATGAAGCATGCAAAACAAGTTTTAAAATATCTTATGTTGCTTCATTTTGTTAAATTGATTTGTTTTTTATTTAATCCAATTGTCTAAATTTCATCATGTCAGTATGTGTTTGTTTCAGGCAATGTTTTTCATCATCACTTGGGATGGGTTATTTGGGGGGTGTAGGTGCAACCTGGCTGTATATTCAGTGCCATTTCTCCAAGAGGAAGGTTTTGAAGTGATTTCTCAATGATGGAAAAATAAGTATTTCCTTAATCAACCCTTCAGGCAGCTTTTGTTGTAATTTTTCTGTGCTGCCTCTACTTTTTTAATTGCCTTTTATCGTTCACTGCCCCCGCACCCCTCAATCTGGCAAATTCAGCTCATTCTCCTGTTCCCCACAGAAAGCTATTTGCCACTCACTCCAATAATTTCTGGTTTTCCTGTTGAGAACACTTGTTCCAGTTTAACTCAGTATGGCTATGGAAGGTATTTCTGTTGCAGCTTGTCCTACACTGAACTACATGTCATGACACAAATCCAATTTGGTCCATTTTTCTGCAGAGTACTGGTGCTAGTTTATGTGACTGTATTCTAATTGCAAAGCTACACTCACTGTCTCCAGTATCAGGACAGTGATTGAGCCACAGTACTTAATGAGTTGAAGAGAAAATGACTGAAAATCATGCACAGAGATTTATGAAGGCTCTTCATAATTCATTGAAACAAACGGTGTCATCAGCGAGGGAAAAAATCTGCTGTCACCCGGGTTGTGAACTCCACCACAAATGTCCACAGTAGGATTGTGAAAAGGACTGTACTTACAGCTGGAAAATGAAGTGCAACCAAGAACACTGAGGAGTCCTTTTGAGGGCTGTGGTTTACTGTGACTGTGCGGTATGGTGATTACTGGATTTGGTACACAAACTTGTGGATTTTTAGATGGAATAAAATGCATCTTGTGTTGGAAAATCATTTTTGCTCAATTGCTTCAGCTTTCATATGTTTCCCTCTATGTCCTACTTGCTCATCAGGAAGCTTTATGGAAGCGGAGGCATGCATACCTAGACAAAGGCTAGGTTTTATTTTCTTTTGTGGCTTTGGGATTAATTAAGTAGGGAAGAATAGATGACAGAGAAGAAATTGCAGGCATTAAGCTATAGCTTTTGAACTCTTGCTTTTTTATGCTGATTTACCTGAATTAGAAAAAAACAATGGAGATAAGTCGAAGAGTACAATTCCAGGTATTAACTCTCACAGCAATAATTTGTGTGGTAATCCTGAATTCCTTCGAGGTGAGCCCTTGAATTTGAAAGAAGAGACTTACCTTTCTTGAATTTGTAACTGGCACAGTTCACTAAAAAGCATCTTGGTAAAGGCACGGTGTTAGAGCACAAGTAACAAATCTTGGCCAGGAGTGTTGAGAACGGCTGCCTACATTTGATGCCCTCGCTCTAAGCTTAATGACCTAAGCTGAAACATTTTTCAGCATTCCACTCAAAGATGTGTGTGGGGAAGAGAGGTGGGAAAGTGGGAAGAAATCAGGCATTTCTCCGGGAACTGCAGCCTATGAATCTTGCCTACAACTCTGCTGTAGGTTGAAAGCATTTAGGGCTGGATGTTGGATCAGCCATTAGAGCTACAGGCTCTCTGTGTGGGGTCTCTGTCAGAATCCAACCCCAGGTCTGGTTCCAAAGGCACACAGGTGGAATGCTGGAGCTAGAAGGAAGGGGGGAGGGGAGGAAGTTCATTAGAAATTGGGCTGCATTAACTCTGGGTTAATTAAACCATTATGTTCTGTACTTGCAGAACAGTGTCGTTAGCTGTACTTAACATTGCAATTTTACTGTATTCAGGACATGTCCCACAGAATGTCTCTGAAATGTCATAGTTTAAAATAATGGTGCTTAATTACTTAGCCATTTTTAGCCACAAAGTACTTTATCATATAATTCCACCCAGTCTTCAAAAAGACTGTATACTGCCTTCCATGTTAATTGTGACAGTTCTGGATTTTGTTTAGGCCACTGATGAGAAAGTCACAAAAGTATGGGATCGGCTACCATGGAAACAGGGAAGACATTTGAGCACCAGCAGCATTCCGCAGGGGCTAGGATTAAAAAAGACATTCTGCAAAGAGAAAGTAAAAAGGCATTTACATTTCAGCCGATGGCTTCCATGCATTCCTGCCATACCGAGGCAACACATTCCTGGCATTGATTGCAACAAGCCTCCACATGTGGCCATGATATAGAGCAGAGCATGCATTGTCAGGAGAGCTGGAAGAGAGTGTTTAGGAAAAAGGAAGTGCTGGCATGTTGAAGCTGAAAACAAAAGAGAGTAGAAAGCAAGGGAAAAAGAAGGATGGAATAGAAAAAGCATCATCAGGAGATCTGATGGAAAAGGACTTTACGGAGAGAAAAAAGAATACAAAGAAAAGGGACGATACTGGATACATAATAAACTGAGGCTTATTTTGTAGAAATGTGAAGAAGTTAGAAGGCTGGAAAATAACCATCTTTGGTACATAACAGCTGATCTAGAAAGCTGCTTTCTGTGCCCACAGAGATTGAGACAAAAACAGATGGGTATAAATTGCATGAAAATTGAGATCTGTGTCAGGCAGGAAGAAAAATTGTATAATTGTAAGGATAATGTCTTTCAATTAAATAACTAAGAAGACTGTAGGATTTCAAGGCAATGTATTTTTACTCTGAACAAGGTCACACATTGAAAGGCTGCCAGTTAACCATTACAAATCATTTTCTATGATTCCTGATATTTCTGATGGAATCTGGGCACTAGGCAGAGGTATAATGGAAGGGCAGCTGGAGGACTGGAGAGTGAGCCCTTCTTTACATGAGTGCACATCCATGAGGCTGAGGGAAGCAAAAGGAGGGTATACTGCAAAAAATGAAATAGGAGAATGCAAGGACAGAACAGATGGTAGGGAAGAAAACCTGAACAATAGAAAGTTAAGAAGAATGTGAGGATTTGACACATGAGAGGAGGGGATAGTTGACCAAATTTAAAAAAATAATAAAAATCTGAACTGTGAAGGATAGTGCAGAAAGGAGAGTAAGCAAGAAGTGGGCTGGGAGTCCTACAAGAACACCATGCTGAAACACAGCCAGGGAACCTAAAGAAGACCTGAGCAGAGAACCAACTTCAAGAGTGCACCGGCTCTTCAGCAGCAGCACATCCCCTTTGTTTT